TAGGACTTAGCTAGGAATTTAGGTGCTCTGAATTTTTGTTGCACCACGCTCCTTGATTGCGCGCATCCAGCCACGCTAGGAACCGGGCTCTGACTGGACCGCGCCCTTAATCTTGCGTATAACTGTAATTTTGGTGGGCGCAATTGTAATTGTATCTCTCTTCTTGCTCTCGTCTTCTTCCCGCCTCCTTGTTCCAGGCTATCTGCATGTGCCTCCCTACGACCTGATTGGCCAAGGTGTTGCATGCTCAGATCGACGCGTGGAGAGTGGCCACGTCCCGCACTCCGCGGCCTGGCCATGCAGAACGTAGGCACTTCCTCCTTTCACCCCCCCCTCTCTCACTTAGGCCTAATCCCGTATCTCACGCGCAAGCATACATGCTATAAATTTCGCAAGCGCGATTAGATTGCTCTCTATGAACCTTGGAGTTAGCGTGATCAGTGAGGGTCGGCTAACAAGTCAGCTTGAAGAGGTGAGTCGACGAGAGAGTTGGACGATCCGGCGAGCTGGTGTCGAGTATGCGAGGTTGACGTGCGAGGCTGTGACGGACTGCCCGCATCAGGAGTGTGGAGCAGAGAGAGAGAGCAGTTGTGGGTGTGGGATGAGGTTCTTTCTTTTCCTCGTCTGTATAATTTTGGCTTCTGCTATGGCCGATTTTGTTGCGGCCTTTTCRTACTTTTTCTTGTAAATCGTCTCGGATTTTCTTTGTCGCTTTTGCCTCGTATGTATGCATGAATGGATGTGAACTCTTCTTCATTAGTGATCTTTTCGGATTTCCGATCTTGTCTTGCGATGCTTGTCTAATTATATCATCCATTTGCATCTGATCGCAAGCACCCGCTACGGATGTTTGGGGTTTTTATTATTAGTCTTTGATCGTCATAAGGCCACCAAGAACGCTGTGAGATGTTGAGTGTCCTTTTCCGCTTTTCTCTCCTTTTTTGTCACATAAATGGTATGAATGTGAATGAAACCTCTGGATCCCACCCAACACAGCATGAGTAGGAAAGTTGCATGTAGGATACCATCGCTGCCGCGATACAAGAAACTCGAGCCTGATTCACTACCGCTCGTGCGCACGCTCACGTACGACTTCGATCTCGAAAAACCATGTCGTGGCGTACGCGCGCGTCTGCATGAGCCGACCTCGAATTTATCATAAGGATGCGGGAAATCGAATTCATTAATCGGATATGGCTGAGGAAAGTCCCTTTTGGATCACCGATCGTGAAAGCCTGAGGGATTCGGAGTATCGCGAGTACTGGAAAGGCGAACAACTCAGACGACGGGGAAACTTAAGAAACCCGGAATTCCGCTGTCTGACAGAGAACGACCGACTGTGCACGGGGGATTTCCACTGGCTATAACCAAGGACCCTAGAGGCCCAGACTATCCAGATACGGATAATACTCAATACTACATATCTCCGGGCTTCGTCGTTATTAATACTAGCTTCCCTCTCTTCCATTTCCTCCTTCCATATCACCAGCTCACAGTGGTACTGTGGAATTCCATAGCTCGCTATTGACCCAGCCCACCTTGCGAGGATTGCCAGCGACATCAGACACGACCAGCGTCGGGATTTACCCGACTAATTTGAACCGAAGTTGAGCAGCGATTGCACAGTCGTCACGACTTTCATGACCCCTCGGGGGCTGTGGGGATGACTATGCGAGGCAGTTCCCTCAGTACACAATATACTACATGCATGTAGACGGTATGTCGACCAGGTGCATTAGGATGAGTCCAATGCTCCGAATGGATCTGGTCTAGAAGGCATGTAAATGCATGTAGAGTGTTGTGTAGTGGAGCGAGGCTCTGACCTCGTTAGACACTCCTTACGGTTTCCTTGAGCCACAAGGAAACGTCCTTGTGGATTTTTAGGGGAATTTGCGGCGTCGTTCCACTCATCCTTGGGGACGTCCCCCGAGGATGTTTCCTTGTGGCTTCCCCGCGGCAATTTTCATACGTAAATTAGCGGCCGGTGGGTCGGACGTCCTTGGTCCAGCTTCTTTTGTCCGTGTGGAGGTGGCATGGTCCCATGACGCGAGGCGGGAAACGGCAGACGGCCGGCGATGCGAAAAGAAAGTTAACCCCAAGGGCGTGGGCATTTGAAATTCAAAATTCGAACAACTGCTGCGACGACGACGACAACGTGTGCCTGGCGGCGCGAGGGTGGCGTGCTGCGGAAAGGGGCCTAGTGGCGGCGGAGGTTTCGTCCCCAGGCCGTTGCGACTGCACGGGCAGCGTGTGGTGCTTCCATCGCCGTGGCCCTTTGCACACGTCGACTGCGCGTTGCTCCTCGTTGCCGTTTGCAGGACTGTAAGCATAGAAAAGGGGCCGCCTTTCGACGGACGTCTTCGACTTCTTCATCGCGTGCGGAAGTACGACAAAGACGGCAGCGGAACGACGGGACCGTTTCCACGTCATGGCTATGGAGGGCGGCGCAGAGGGTAGACGTGATGCGTTGACTCCTCGTGAGCTGCAGGCCGTGGTGACGACTGTGTCCACGTTTGTTCTTCGATGTCAGCAGGAGAGGGCACTGGGGTGGCTGAAGGAACAGTTGCGCGCGAGTAGACGGAGGAAATTGACGCAAGATCCGTGCGATGGGGCCGAATACGTGGCGACGTCGGAGGTTGAGCTGTGCTACTCGTTCGGTTGCGGAGTGATACCACGTGCGACGTCGCGGTGGTGGGTGAAGCGCAGGACAGGAGGCACATGGGAAGACCTTAGGCAATGCGATGATGCGACAGACGACTATTTCCAGGATAAGCTTCGAATGTCACCGCGAGTGTTCAGGGAAATCGCGGAGGCGTGTGCGCCTCATCTTCAGCGGCGGGTCACGTTCTACAGGGAGCCTTTGCAGCCGGACCAGATTGTGGCGTACGCGCTGTATAGGTGGGCTTCAGGAGAGACGTACGAAAGCAGCACATGCAACTTCGGGATTGGACGAGCTTCTGGGCTGATTGTCGTCCGCGACGTTACTGCCGCGCTGCTAAGGGTGTTCGGAGAGAAGATCGCGTGGCCGACAGGACTTCGTAAACTCGTCGTTCTGCGGGTGTTTGCTGATAAAGGGTTCCCCAACTGCCACGGTTGCATTGATTGTACTCACGTCTACGTCGACAAGCCGGCGAACGCTCCGAGCGAAAACTACTACGACAGGAAGCGGCGTTTCTCCATCGTCGCGCAGGTTGTCGTCGACCTGGACTTGCGTGTGCTCGACGTGCACATGGGATACCCTGGTAGCTGCCACAACATCAGGGTGCTGTTGTCCAGCCTGTCGCTGTCCGCAGAGGAGGGGTCGTTGTTCCGTGGTCCCCCCGTCACACTGCCGTTCGGTGTGAAGACGAATGGGTACGTTCTGGCGGACAATTGGTACCCCCCTTCCGAATGGATGGTCGTCCCGTATGGAGGCATCAATCAGCATGTCGACGAGGAACGGTTTTACAACAAACAGAAGGTGGCCAGGGGAGCGGTGGAGAGGGCGTTCGGCAGGTTGAAGGGCATGTGGCGGCTGTTTCTGCGGACACATAAGACAAACCTGGGGACGCTCCCGCAGCAGTTCACCGCCGTGTGCATACTGCACAACATGCTGATCGGCGCAGGAATCCCCTTCGACGAGAATCTGCTATGGGAGGTCGACGCCAATGGTGTGCGACGACGCATGGACCTGGGGATCGAAGAGCCCCTCCAGCTTGTGTCAATGATGACGTCAACAGATGAAGCGTTGGCACTGAGGGATGCTTCGGCGGAACGATTGAAACACGATTGAGTCGTGTTTCATTCGTGGACGGCAGCGCGTGGAAGTGCATTGATTGCAACAATGGGCGGAGGGCAGATTCCTCGTTCCGTCCTGCCTTTATTGGGTCGCTATCGTCTATACCCCGTCGGGGTTGGTGGTTTGCGTGGAGGGTCGTGTTCCCCATGTTGGACGGCCGCGCGTGGAAGCGCGTTCATTGCAGCAATGGTCGGAGGGCAGATCAGCTGTTCCGTCCAACCTTGATTGGGTTGATAGCTTTTGTCCTGCGTCGGGTGGGTAGTTTGCGTCGAGGGTCGTCTTTGATTGCCGTCGTGATTCGCGGACGTGCGTCGCCGTCCGTTTTGTTGATTTTAGTTATTGCTGTTGAAGTTGTGCACTGCGGACACGGCGCACTGCGGGTGTGAAGTGCGCTGTTTTTGGGCACAGAGGATAGAGCACCGTTGGTCATTCGGGTGGGCCTGGAACTTCTCCCCCACCTCCCTTCGATTTTGAACTTTCCGCTATGAATTGTTTAACGACATCGCAAATCCCTTCCTAAGTTTGTATCGTCCATTTCCATTACGTGTTGGCGGTGTGTGTGTGTGTGTGCGTATCTCATTGCGTCGATATTGTGTGTTGGTATTTCTTTGCATTGATGCAGTGTGCCATTGCATGCTCACAATATGTTTTGTGGGACATCTCATGTTGTTTGATGCGCTGCGCTTTGTCTTCATGCAAGTGTTGGACTGGAACTCAAACACATTTTTTCTTTGTCATTCATAGTAAGTGGGGGAGGAAAAAAAGAAATACAAACCAAACAAAGCAACGACCGACAATGGCACATGCAAATGGAGATGAGACGTCTGAATGTGCATCCAAGAAGGCAAGGACCGTTCAGGTGTGTGATGAGTGATAAGACATGATCTTACAATTGACGAAATGTCCTTCTAAATTGAAATAATAAAAAAAAAAGGTGCGCTTGAAGCGCAATCAACTTGTCTCGCCACAAGTTTCGTCAACAACAACACAAAAGAACATCGCAGAAACCTACTCCGCTCCTACAATCTGCTGAAGAGAGCGCCGTTTACCGTCGCTTCTCCAACATCGGCAGCCAAACACAATCCACATCCACAAGCAACCACGACCGCAGTTGCATCACGCACCCTGCCAAACTGGACGACCGAAAAAGTCGGGCGTCTGCATGCACGAGCGACACGGTGTACACGAGAGGAACGAAGGGAGAGACCATCAACAATCCGTTATCGTAAAGCGGCGCCACCAAACCTGCGTCTCGGACGCCGCCAAGCGCTCTTTCCTCTCCACTTCCCTTACCCACGCCGGAACACGAGACCCGTTCGCGTACCCTCTCCCGCGCTGCACGTGTTAGCACCAGCAACACCCTCTCCCACCCTACCTCCCCCCTACGTGTCCTCTTTTCCATCGTCGTCGTCGTCGTCCTCCAAGGGGCCCGAACCCAACCAATCCCTCCTCTTCGCGTCCTCTGGCCCCGTTATGGTCGCATCGTGCCCGAAGACGATGCCGCAGGAAGCCCAGTCAGGGATGTACTTCGGGTACTCTCCGAAGGTGGCGTTCGCCTTCCCTAGTCTCTCCGTCACGGCGTTCGTGGCTCGGATGATGGACCATCGATGATCGAAGGCGCGATGCATGGACGCGACGAGCGTGGGCTTCGCGACCAGCTTCGCGAAGTAAAAGGCTTCGTAGTGGCTGCACGGATCGTCTCCCGCCATGCGCATCAACCACATGCAGGCAGCCAACAAAAGTCTGAAGCAATCCGCAACTCTAGACAGACGATCGTGCGAGATGAACCCGCCGTCGATGATGCCACCCATTTGCACCGCGGCGCGAAAAGCATGCGCGATGCATATAACGGTCGCCTCCTGGTGCGCCGCCATGTCGTCGTCCTCCGGCCTGTCCTCGATGTTCACGCCCGGAAACCACAATGGCAAGTCCATGTTGAGGTCGATTGTGTGCGCGCAAACGGCCACGCTAAAGACGTTGCTCCACTCCTCATCGTACCACATAACGCGCGCAATGTCAGTCGCCACCGACTTCAGCGCGTACTGGAAAGCGACATTGAATCCTCAGGGGCGGTTCCCGGACTTGAAGACCCATCCGTGCAAGACGCGCAGAGCAATATTCTCCGCTGCCATGGCACGGACGATCGCCTGCTGCAGTTGTACGGGATCTGCAATCCTTGTGAGGGTCATCGACGATTTCGGCATGACGACGCTCCTGGGTACGGGGGGCGTTCGCAGCCCGCTGGCAATGGCGACAAAGTACTCCCGCGTTTCTTGGACGATGTTGTACAGCCTTCGCCCCTCCCCCGTCGTCCAGAATGCTTTGTCATCGACCCACAGGCGGGCACGGTCGGCCAGTTCTCTCGCCATCCCTCCCCTCCGAACCCAGCTTAGAAGGGGGTTTTTATCCTCCCTTTCACCCTTGTTGTCGCCGTGCGTCGCCTCCCGCTCCACAACTGGGACCTCCTCTCTCGCCCTCGCCACGGCACCAACATTGCCTGAAGACCCCGCGGCTGCACCAGCGATCCCCCCCCCACTCGCCACGCGCGCCTCGTGCTGGGCGCCCTCCCCTCCCCCACGTTCCATGGAGCCCCCCTCTGTAGCCGTGTTGCGCGGACGCGGCTGGGACGGCGTGGAGGGCAGGACACCCTGAGGTGGCCTTTCTTCAGTCGCGGCACGTATCCTGACTGCTGTTGCCGTGGCGCCTTGTGTGACATTGCGCTACCTGCCGCTTTCCAAGGGCTCGTCGTCCTCGCCGCCGACGTCGACGACGACCTCCTTCGCCTTCGTGGTGTTGTGAGCACGCATTTGTTGCGCTCCCGAAGGAGGCGTCAACAATCTCCTCGCACCGCTCTGATCAGATGAGCGTTGAAGACTGCTTCCCCGAGGCGCCGGCACGTTGTCCTCTGCTGCTTCCTCCTCCATCGTGAATACGTCGTCATCTTCCTCTTCGTTGGCTGTCGCCCAACTTCGTCCTCGTTGAAGAGGCAGGCTTGCTGATGCTTCTTCCGAATGGAGCCTCTTCGCCTTGGGGACATGCCGCCGACCCCTTTCCCGCCCCTGAGTGTCCGCGGGGATGTTTTCCCCCTTCTTGCCACGGGTGCCGCCTTTGCGTAGACATGCTTCCCGCCTCCATCAATGGCCGTCTATGGCTACGCCTGCGTTTGCACCGACGACGAACAAGCGCCTTTGCCACCCTGGGGAGCTGTGCGTCCACGTGTACCGACGTACTGGGGCGACACCGGCGAGACTGGTTCGCGACGAGAAGAAGACGACACAGACAAACCTCCTAGTGGCGAGAGAGATCCGCGGCGACAAAGACAGAGGGGCCCGCGCTCGCCACACACACTACCTCCACGTCGACGCGAACGCGACAAGAAGATGAACCCTTTGAACACTTCTCCGCGGCGAGAAGAATATCTTCACGACCAAGCGACGCCGGACCTCTGAAGGGGCGATACGGATCCACGGCGAGAAGGATCCACAGCGAGAAGGAGAGCGACAAGATCCATAGCGATGATTGACGACGACATTCAAGAAGTCCCGGACGAGAAGGAGATGAACCCTTCGGACACTGCTCCGCGGCAAGAAGAAGATCTTCTCGACTAAAGGACGCACCTCCGAAGGGGCGATACGGATCTGCGGCGAGAACGATCCGCGGCGAGAAGGAGAGCGACAAGATCCACAACGATGATCAATGAAGACTTTGAAGAAATCCAAGACGATGATGACTTTGAAGAAACGGGTGACTTTGTAGTGGCTTTGCGGTGCGACGATGAGGAGAAAAGGCAGAGGGTGTCCCTCGTAAATCTCGTCGCTGTGCACCGTGTGCGCCGACCTTCAGTGCTGGAGAAGCCGCAAGCGGACGACTTTTATGGTGGAGGAGGCGTAGACGCATCGAAAGCATGGAGCAGACAGATGGGCCCCGACGACGATTCCTCGCCTCCCGCCGTCGTCGACAACGACACGTATGACAACAACTCTGTAGACCTCCTTCGCGCACACTCGCTTCATTTGTTGCCACGCCCAGCTCCCCGAGGCGCCTACAGACCCTTCGACGCCTCTGCAGAAGCGCGTCCATACACGCTCCACGGGCCGATATGGA